AAAAGAGATGAGCGAGTGCAAAATCAGGGGCTGCAGTTAGCCGACTGCAGATGTCCATAAGGTACTTAGCATGGAGGTAACCCTGCACTGTCAGTGTGTTGGCAGCTAAAGGCCAGCTGCTTATTTCACAGGGAGAGAATAATGCAGAGATGGAGAAGGATAAGAAGGACAGAAGAGGAAGGAGAGGGCTTAAATTAAAGACTGCTCAGTGGTATTTGATTCACTGGCAATTTAAAGCATATATGCATAGTCATCGTGTTTTTAAATCGCATATTGGGTGTGTACATGTGACATTATGTTTTACTGACTGTTATTTAAAAGCTGCATGAAAATCATCTGCAGGTTAGTGCAGGGGTTAAATGGGTTACTTTGCTGTACTGTGATGGATTTAAAACAGCTGATCACAGCTTGTACATTAAGAAAATCTACTGCAGCTCTCAATAGAAATTGTGAATTAGGATTCCCCCCCACGCTGAGCCATTACAGATTGGTGTGTCCAAATTTTAGGGTTCCTTAACCTGCTGAATCCACTTTAACCCCTGACTGTACACTTTCTGTTTAGGGCCAAAGTCACCCTCTACAATGTAGGCAAGGGAAAATATTTTTTTGTTTTTAAATTTTCCTCTTTCTCTGCTCATGTTCTGCTGATCTGATTCAAGTTGAATATTTCTGAGAATTCAGATGTAGGCCACTTTTGTTAATCTAATATTTTATTACATTAATATAGCACAAGGTTGAGTTAGCTCTGCACACACATAGCTGGTAGAAACGTCCTCCAAAGAGCTACTTTCAAGACTACATTTTAGAGTCGCTACTCTTTACTTTGAGTTAAGGAGTTGAGTCAGTACTTTAACAGAGTATTTTTAACACTATCTGTACATGTGACACCTGGCGTTCACAGCCCTCACTGCATTCGTGCTTCCACTTTATATATATTTTTTAGCTTTTATAAATAAAATTTGCATAGATGAGCAGCGTGGTGTGTACTTTGGTCTGTGTAGCAGAAGCTGTGTGAAGGACAGCTCATGAAGCCATCTTTTATTTAACATTTGAAAAAACATAACAATGTTCATGTAATTAAAGTGTAATGTGCACTAAAATGTGTTCTTTATGTTTTTAGCCTATTTCTCTCTCCAGGTAATTTATGCCAGGAGGAAGTATTCAGTGTCTCCACCTGCCACCACTGGACCACCAGAATTTGAGAGGGTCTTCAGAGCTCAGTGAGCCCCTTTGTGTCTGTTTGTCTATGCATGTACTTGTATTACTAAAATCCTGTGGGGACCCTTCAATTTTGGAGGGACGAAATTGTACCTGATAAATTGGTAAGAATGAAAGGGATGCCTCTGGTGCCCCCTGGAGGCTGTGGTGTGTAGTGTTTTACCACTTATTTTCGGTTAGTTTTGTTGTCCTTTGTGTTTAGAGCAAACTGCTCAGAGTACTTCCCCATCTTCATCACCGTGCTGTGGCTATCTGGAGTATTCTTCAGCCAAGGTGAGGCGACAGAAGCCACAGAGGCTGCTGCAGCATTAACACGTACACTTTACGACCTGAAAAGGTAAACATTTAAAGGTGTGTCTGTGTGTTTCAGGTCTGTCTTCAGTCTGCGGTTTGCTTTATTTATATGGACGGTTCAATTACTTTAGAGGATATTCTGAGTCTGCACAGGGACGGTGAGAGCTATGAGAACCCCTACAATTACAATAAATACACTCGCTGTTTAAAATCATTCTTATACTGATGCTAACGTTTGCACTGCAGGAACTCCCATATGAAATGTGAGTTTTACTTTATGGAAAGTTCCTGCTCTGGCTTTCATACCCTCTGAAGGATGGGATCTCTCAGGGTTATTGAATTTTAAATGTTCACAGTGAAGTTAAACGCTGAGTTAAAAATGTCCAACTGTGTGACATCATCAGAATCGGCATACTATATTAATCTCTAGGGAAATTATATATCAGTCTGACAAACGACAACTATCAAAATTTTGAGCTATGCAAACAGGACAAGAGTACAAAATCACCAAGCTAAGGTTATTTATTTTGACTGCGATTGTTTAGATCCAGACTGTCCCCTGAATGCCTCGTCATGTTGGTTTTTTCAAAGCTTGTATTTTTTTCAAAACTAAATTCTGCACTTCCTCTAATGTCCACTAGAGGCTCGCGCATAGACTCATGTAAAAATGTCTAACTTTACAGCAAGAAATGAAAATGTTTACCGGCTGATTCCTGTAGTATCTGTATGTGGCCTCTTTTGGCTGTGGTCAAAATGCTAACACTTTTAGAAAATAGTCAGTAGTTAAAATCTAAAATGTTCATTCAACCAGGTGGAACAGAGCTTTCTGCTTCCTGTAAATGACTTACTGTGAGTAGTTCTGCCTGTGCAGGTGTGTAACAGGTAAACTGACTCAACACTGTTCATGCCTCTGGTCTCTTTCAGTCTGGCTCCACTTTACTTCTGCGCTCAGATTCTCTGGATTCTCATCGGGTTCTCGGCTGTTGGCATTTTCCTCACAATCTGCCGAGTTTACCTGAACATGGACCTGCTGCAGGAACTTTGCTCCATCTTCGGGCTGTTTTGACCGAGGAGGATAAGAAGTGACAAAAGGGAGGAGAGGTTGTCTTCTACTCTGATCTTCATCTCTGTATTTCTCATACAGTTCGTTAAATATTCTGTTATCAACCTGAAAGTAGGGAATAAAGAGAGATGATGTATCTGCATCTGTCAGTTTCTGTTGATCACCAGCAGAGGGCACCACACCCCGACTTTGACCTCAAAGTTTCTTCATTTCAAACGACAGACACCACGGTGAAAAAATACTTAACTACAATTTAAAGCGCTGCATGCTAAAGCCCCGTTCTTGTTATAGTGGATATAACGGGGTAGTCAATATTTAAAACTTAAACTCTTTCGTTTTGCATCTATAATTAATAAATGTGCTTTCAGGACATCTTCAGTCATATTTACACAGCACACCAAGGAGGAAACGCTGTGTTTACAGAAAGAGGAACCTCTTATCTCCCCTACAATTTCCATTTATGGTTGAACTGATTTAACAACAGAATTTTAGTGGAAGGCAAACAAAAGCCAGCAAACTGAAACAATGCTTTTGACAATAAATAACAATTAACTGTTTTGGTAAATATTCATAAAGTTTTTTTTCTGTTTTCTTCTAATGCTCCACCCCCACCCCCACATACTGGCCCTTTTTAACTTCATGTTATTAAATATGATCTTTGAATGGATCTTTTTATAAAGCACATTTCAGTCCTCACGTTCCTGTTTTTGGCCACAAGGTGGCAGCATTTCATTTATAGAGGCTCTGGGTAATAAACACTGAAGATGAAGAATAACTTGATCATTTTGAGAAAAACAGATTTTAAGTCAATCAACATACAAATAATTTTTTTAATTTGTTTTAATATTTAAATAAAAATTTGTTTAAAAACAAGTTCTAAATTCACTATAAAACTCTTTTCATACCTCAAATCTATAGTGCTTATTTTTAACCTTAAATTAATACGATGGACTTTTGTTGAGCCTAACAGCAGGTAAAGCTGAGGCGTCCTGAGATGATTAAAATAGAAACCAGCCCCTCTGCTGGTCCTCCTTCACTACATCCATGAATCTTCTCCGAGGTCTTCCCCTTTTCCTCCTGCCTGGGAGCTCCATCTTCATTAGTGTTGGTCAAGTTACTTGAAAAAAGTAATCAGTAACTAATTACTGATTACTTCCCCAAAAAAGTAATCCCGTTACTTTACTGATTACTTATTTTCAAAAGTAATTAATTACTTAGTTACTTTTTAAAAACACGATTTACAACCTGAATAGGTGATAAAGCGATAGATCTTTCAGCCCAATTCTACTTTTTCTGCATCATCCATCATACAAAATGTAATCAAATGGAAAAGTCTCTTTTTTTTTTAAACTTGTTTTATCAGTTTTAATCTTTTAACTTTATGCATCATGCAAACATTTAATTATATGCAACATTCACTGACTGGAAGAAATTTGTTTAATATTTAAACCTATTTTCTGCACATAAAATATTTTTTGTGTTTACACTCACTCTTTCAAATAGATGCAAGTAAAACACAGCAGAAAATAAAGTCAAAGACTAGCAGTCCTTTCGCTCTATTTTCACCTGTAAAGCAGGAGTAGAGTAGGCGGAGGTTTATCCTGGTGCAGGTGTGCCGCAGCGGTCAGTGGAAGAATCCACGAGTTTCTCTGAGTTTCCCATTACGTTGTAGCGCACTCGGTGCTTGCTCGGAAGTTTAGGGGGGTTTTTTTCGCTGTAAAAAGAAGTTTTCTTCCCACGCACGATGGACGCTAATGTTTTTGTCACTTTTTATGGAATCAAACTCAAAGTAAGGTCAGTACTTCCACGCTTTAAACGCTGCACGCTCATACTCTCTCCCACAATCGATATGTGATCCATTGTTGATCTGCACACAGCTGTTGTCACAAACGTCGCACTTGCTAACGTCATTGTCATGAGACACTCTCGCAAAAAATCAAGGTTTTAGTAACGCAGTAACACAGCGTTCCTACGGGAAAATAACAGTAATCTAATTACCGTTTTTGCAATAGTAATCCCTTACTTTACTCGTTACTTAAAAAAGTAATCGGATTACAGTAATGCGTTACAGCCCATCTCTGATCTTCATCATCCTTTGTCCAACATGTCCATGCTGCCTCCTGGGCACAAGTTCAAACCATCGCAGCCTCACCTCTAAAAAACATAAATGAAACAATATGGAGGATTTCAGAATAAGCAGTTCTTAAAAAGTAAAAATGTTCAAAATTTCTACCACATTTGAGGTGTGTCTTCAGTATGAGCACTGAAACATTTTTTTTTCTTTGCTGTAATTGTTCCTCAGGGACAAGTGGACATGAAACCCACAGTCCTTTTGCACAAAAACGCATTCAGGTTTATCAGAAGCTAAAAAGAAGCTTCAGGTGACATCTTGATTATTTCCGTGCTTTTATTTGCTTCTGCAGCATCTTTAAACATTAAAACCAGCATAACTCTGCTCCTGCTGAGATCTCTACAGTTAATGTGCGGTTAATTAAACCAGCGAGTCAGGCCATTAATGTGATCCAGGCGCAGGCTGATATTTCCACTTACTACCTATAAAAAAACATGGACCGCACCAGCACAGCTGCCATCGGGTGTAGAGGGGTGGGAGCTCCTAAAGCATGAGTGTCTATGGAGGCAGGGGTAAAACCCCTCTGCTGGTTTTCAGCCTGACTCGTCTGTCATGAAAGCCAGAAGTGTAACAGCATTAGATCTGTGACATGAGGTTTATACTGAGATCGATACATTCATTAAACTCTGCTGTCCTACGAAAAAAAATGTACGTTTTATAATTCAAAGATAATCCTGCAGCCTTTGATCTTCAGGTAACATTTATAAGGTAAAACAGTGAGATCTGTGTTTGTGGAGGATAAAGGCGTCTTTGTTGGTTTATGAGGATTCATCTTTAAAATCAAAACTACTTTGTATCACAAGTGTAGTCTATTTGTAAAAACCCCAGGCAGCAGAAGCTGATATAAGCCTGTAAACTGTGAAGTGACCGGCTGTTGGAGATCAAATCTTTCTTGTGTGCGTCCGCAGTTTGTGTTTATTTGGAAAAATCCGATCATCCGACCAGCGGCCTGAGGAGAGCCGAGTCACGTCGAGCAGTGTGATCTGAACGCTGCCTTCAGAACAAAACAGCTCTAATTAAAGCTTTAAGAAGTTCTCAGAAGCCTCCAACAACAAAAAGAAGGAGGACATCTTACATAGTTTTGTGTTTGTCCTGAAGTCTGATGTAGATATTTTTCCTCTGGAGCACACTGCTGTTTATCCATGTCGGTGTAAACTGCTCAGTGTCTGCTAGACAAGCATCTCCCATCAGCTGAAAGTTACGCTAATCAAACCAGTAATGTCTCTCTATAAAAATCATCTCTTGGTTAAAATACACCGAAATCTCTTACTTTCATGTAGGAACTATTTTCTATCTGCTGTTTACATCCACCAAGCGAGAGAACCAAGTTACAACCTGGAGGCGGAGAGGAGCCCTGACCAGTAACACTCAGACCTGCCATCAAGCTGCAGGGTAAAAGAAAATGAAGCTGAGGCACCAACAGCTGCAGTTCCTCTAACATCCAGCAGGGGCTCCAGCAGTGAGTCAGTCCCCACAGACTCCCACGTTAAAATATCTGACTTCACAGCAGACATACACCTGTTTACAGCCTGATAGAACAACTGCTCTGGTCTCTATGGATAATTTAAACTTTTATAACACCTGGACAGGTGTGAATGTTTTCTTTCTGACAGCCTCTTTGACTGACAGGCAGCTGTAGCTGCTAGCTGTCTGCTAGTCTTCACCTCAGCTAATTGGAGTCCCTGACCTGGAGCTCTGGACCGTGTTTGTGCTGTTGGAGCCTTTTTTTAATGGAATTATCTGACCAATAATCTGGCTGCTGTGAGATTAATTAAACTAAGAGACCATCAAAGCAGTCTGAGCTCCAGTTTTGGGACTTTATTTAGATTCTACTGAGCGTTAAATCATCAGGTATGTGTGTCTGTTTGATGCTCCCATACAGTCTGTAGGTTAGGCAGCAGTCAAAATGCTAAGTCGAGTCTTCAAAATGAACAGCCCCTAAACAGTGGGTGGCATCATGGTGACAACATCAATCCATTTATATGCAGTTTATGACCGTGATCTATATTTAGCCCCCACTGTGTTGACTTTTACCTCTCTTCTACCCGCGTGGAGCCATTTCTGCCCTCGTTTCAGGAGGGATTTACATAGAGTTGTAAGGTGATAGGTTGCAACTATCAGTCACTAGTTATTAAATGACTTTTGTCTTAGTTTTTCACATGTCTGTGGGTCAGAGGTGGATTGTGAGTAAGTTGTCACTCAGGTTGTTTGAATTTTCTCACGCCGAACTGTAATCTGCACCACAAAGAACTGAAGACTATTTATAGAGCAGCTCTGCTCGAGTTTATATTAGGAGGTGCAGCCAGGTCTGTACAGCCTGTACATTATCACACACACACACAAGTGCGCATGCGCTGGTTCATGTGTGGAATGCGGCCCTGTGTGTATTTTTAGCGTGTCGTCGTCTCTCTGGCAGACGGCGGAGCAGCAGTTGTTGTTCTCAGCGTCAGGATAACTTTCCATCCAACAACAGCTGCTTCACTCTGCGCCATCTTCTCAGGCTCCGCCCATCAGAGACAGCACCGCAGACTGCCTCCATCGCTCGCCATCAAACACCTGAACACCAGCGAAACACATTTCTAAGACCCAGTGTCTGAGAAAGGCTCACAATCACATCTAACAACGTAAAAATAATTTCATGCCTCTCTGTGACCTCTGATTATGAGTTTACCAACAGGTAAACAATACCTGAGGTCCTGAGTTGTCCCTCCTCAGTCTGGAAAAGCTTCAGGAGGAGCTGGAAAATGTTGCACAGCTGCTAAACTCCTGAGTTGGCTTCCACTGAGCTTCCACATAAACAAACAACAAACGTTAACTAAAGAGACTTTGTTACGTTTAGGGAAGATATCACAGTTTTTTAATATCTGAAGCATAAAACACGTTTTAAATACAGTTTAAATGCGAGGTTTGTTAAGCCACACCTTACAAACATCACCAAGACAGCAGCACAGACTGTGTGTCTCTGCGCACCTATTCATCTGTGATGGACAGAATGCTGTTCAACTTGTCTC